GGAAATTTATGGTGACATGGACATATTAGTACTCATGAATCTAATTATTAGCTTCATCAAGCGATAGCAACAAACATATACTGCAGCAAAGAAGAACATCTAGTTAGGCAACCACACTGAAACAAAGTTTGCCAGCTTACTGCGCCAACCAAAATCTTTGTGGTGCAGTAAAGATTTTAGAATTTTAATTTCATTAAGAACCTTTACAACACAAAACTGGGATTTCAACCGGCCCTCCAGGCTATAATGAAGCATTGCCAGGCGATAAGCAATGTAAGCCAGCACAGAATTTTTAATGCATTGGAGAATGGCCTGTTCTCACACTTTCCTAGTTTCAATATATGTGTTAAATAACAGCACCAGGATGAACAAGTTCATAACAAGGCAACAAGCCATGATTTCTTCTCTACCAGATGATACACTAAGATTCAGGATTCAAATCATCAGTTTAACCAACAGCTAGCAACGACCATGACCGCATCTAACAGAGTGGAAGACCAACATCCAATTAGGCAAAGTACACCGAAATAGGAATTACCAGCTTACCACACAATGAAAACTTTGTTGCACAGTACAGAGTTTACCAAATTCATAGACCATTCTTGGTTCATGTAAACCTGAATCTAGTTGGCACTTCCCCTTTGCAAGCAGCTGCATAGTCTTCAGCAAGGTGTGGTGCAGCTTCCTTGTAAGGGCATATGAACTTGTCCAAGAATTCCATCTCGGTGGCCTTGACAAATGTATAGTAGCACATGGCACGCTTGAGCAATCTGTTTTCCGTAAGAAACTTCATAACATAGTACCGGGGCCTGAGCCGGCCCTCCAAGCTATAATTGAGCAATGATGGGCGGCGGGCAATGTACGCCGGCTCCAACCCCACCTCAGAGATAAGGAATTCAGACCTGCGCTTCAGCATGTCCTTTGACGTCACGAGCACAGATGGACCCTTGGACACAGCAATGCCAACCTCCGCATCCGACCACCTAACCGTCTTCTTCAAGTAGTCCATTCTGGTGGCGATCTTCTCCTTGCTGAGGAATGCAACAGACTGCAGAGCGCGCCTGAACATTCCGGAGCCACGGGGCACACCTATACCTTCGGCGCACGCAACCATCTCCAGGACACGCGCTGGTTTGGCATAAAGTATCCTCGGCACACGGATGAAGAGCTTGGCAATATCACAAGCACCCAGCCCGCACTCTGCTAGGAGATTGACATTGGGCTTGACCACCCTCTCGAGGTCAGAGCCGAGGATGGAGGAGCCTTGCTTGAGCGGCTGGAGCAGGTTTTCGATGGAGCCGCAGAGCGGCAGGTAGTACTCTATCTTGGAGACGACGGATCTGAGGCGGAAGTGGGCGGGGGCGAACGAGACGAGGCGCGCAATCTCAGCTTGTGACAGGCCGAGGCCGGTGAGCCCAGCGAGGACGGGGGACAGCGTTTTCTCCACGGCGGCGCAGAGGATCTTCGGGTCCCTGGCGACGACGGCCGCGACATCAGCGCCGGAGAGGCCGAGGCCGGCGAGGAAGGCGAGGACCGCGTCGGGCTTGGCGGGGGACTTGAGGTGGGAGAGCGTGGCGGAGACCTTGAGTGCCTGGGCACGGGTGAGGCCGCAGGTGTCGACGAGGTAGTCGCCGACGGCGAAGCTAGGGTTCGGGGAAACGGCGGAGAGGAGGCGGTCGAGAGAGAGGAGTGGGGATGTAGAAGGAGAGGGCGTGGCTGAGAGGAGGTGGGGGAGTATGCGGTTCCGGAGGTGGAGCATGACGCCGCGACGGCGGGGCAGCGGCGGCGGTGGGGAATTCCGGTGGCAAGTGCGCCGGTGGTGGACGGGGATTCTCAAATGAAGTGAGCCAAAGGTTGCCCTGAACCCCTGAACAGGCAGCGGTCCACCAGAACCCAAATAGTACATAACTTGATATACGTATTATTCATAACAAAATCCCGTTTTTCTTGCCTAAAAACCAAGGGGGAAGTTTCATTTGTTATATAGGAGTATTATTAGAAGAGAGTTCTCCGGTTAATAAGGAAACCCGACGGGAACTACTGTCCGGGCGCAATAGCAAGGTTAGTCTGAAGTCGGACGCACGTCATAACAAGTGACAAATGTTGACACCAGCACAACCTTATCGCCATTGCCCCTCGATGATGGCGAATCAACGTTATATTTGTGGGGTCAGCTGGCCCACAACTATTGTTTTGCTAATCCATCATATATACACATGTGATGTATCTATATAAAAATAAAATCAAAAATCATGTAAAATCTATGACAATCACCTCTTTGATGCCACAGATTTATCGCCGTGGCGCCTCCACCGCCCTCAATGACACTTTATTATATCTATAGCCAACAATGCAAAGAAACCATAGAAGTGGCACCAAACCGCCGATGAAATGTGACATAAAACGAAAAGGAAGCTCCGAGTTTAGTAGTAGAACAAGAACCATCACTCAACACAATCATTGTTGACATACAAGCACGAGGAGGAGATCCGGATGCTTCGCCCCAGCAAACCTACACGATGCATCTGCATTGACCTATGTATGGCATAGTCGAGGGGCCCACGGGGCACGCCAATGTAGATGCGCAGCCACAAGGATTGCCCTTTACATTTCTCATCTGACGGATTAAATGTTTGCTTGGAATTTGTAAAATGGTACATTATATATATTTGAAATAGGGGAAACAGGCATAGTGGTACAAAAAAGAACATATTAATTTGCACAGTAGATCTTTTCAGCTAGAAGGTTTCCTCATACAAAGCCCCATATATGTCGTCCATCATCGAATTCAAATACAAACATGAATGCAAAAAGAAACACGTTATCTGCATACTCTAAACTTCAAATACAACTTTGAATTTTTTTTATGCTAGAAGTGCAAATTCTTTTCTCCCCTTTTAGAGACACCAATAACCAGATGATGTTCACCCACGTTATCTGTCGCGCTCGCTCTCTATCCACCCATCGTTGCTCAAGAGCATGGCCACCCCCTTGAGCCTCACGTACAACACAACGAAAAATACGGCGGCCCTAAGCAAGGTGAAACTCTCCATTCATGAACGTTTTCCTCAGGTTCTAAGCCCTTGGTTTCGACTCCGAATTTGCGTGGACTCGATGCTATGTCTGAGATTATCGCGGTATGCACTTGAGGACAGTGCTGAGGAGGTAGAGAGGCAAACATGGATCCATTTTGTACACGATAAACTTCCTCAGTTTTTTCTTTAATTCTCTGTGCACCTTCACCATGGTGCTAGTTTTTAATCTGATATGCACTGTTCTATTCCGTTGGTCCCTCTGCAGTCACCTCAAATTTAGGCTACCTTCCGTCTTATAGGAAACCGATGGAGTCGAGCTATCTGTACGGCCACTCCATTTGCGGCGGATGAGGTGCTTACACATGCCTCCCATTCACAACAGATTGCACTGCTTTAAGCCATTGTAATTTTCATCTCTCTCTCTCTCCCTCTGACCATGTTCATGTTTGTTTGGCTGCTATCACAATCCTGCCAACATACTAGGTAAGGGGATAGATGACCAAGGCTACATACATACATATTTGCTAAGGCGTGTCATGCTTACATGAGGGAAGGTTGGTGAGCTTATTAGTTGGTGTAGAAGACTATAGGATGCAACTCATTGTATTCATCGGAGTCTGTTACAATATATACAGGTGATGTCTTGCTTGACAAGCCAACTAACCGTACAATATCTCTAGTAATTAATCTATACAAGGCTAGAGATCATTGGAAGAGCAATCAGACATAAGTACAAATATGTCACGTTCAACACCCCCGCAGTCGAAGCGCCGGCATCGGCGATGCAAAGATTGGAGTGAAACTCCTGAACTGCAGCGGTTGGCAACCCCTTGGTCATAATGTTGGCGAACTGTTGGGTAGTCGGTACGTGAAGGACATGGAGCTGATCCAATTGAACTTTCTCGCGCACAAAGTGAACATCCAGTTCAATGTGTTTGGTGCGCTTGTATTGCACCTGATTGGCCGCAAGATAGGTGGCCAAACACATTATCACAAAAGATCATTGTAGGCTTCGGAAGTAAAACCAGAAGTTCACCAAGCAGGTGACACAACCAACAAGTCTCGGCAACGACGTTGGCAACAACACAATACTCAACCTCGACACTCGGGCGGGAGACGGTAGGTTGCCGCTTAGAGGACCACGAGACAAGGGAGTCATAGAAGAAGACACAGTTTCCAAACATGGATCACCGGGTGTCAGGACAACCAACCCAATTCGCATCCGTGTAAGCAAGAAGCTCGGTGGAGGCGAAGGCGCGGAGACAAAGAGCATAGGTCGGCCTGCCGAGAATGTACCATAGAATGCGCTTGACCAGAGACTAGTGAGCATCACACGGCGAGTGCATGTGCACGCAAACTAGCTGCATCGCAAACTGAATGTCTGGTCTGGTGAGCGTGAAGTACTGAAGTGCATCAACAATATTGCGGTAGAGAGCGGCGTCGGTGGCAGGCTGTCTAGCTGTGGCAGAGAGCTTCGGCTTGACCTCAGGAGGCGTGGTGGCCGGCTTGCAGCCGGTCATGCTAGCACGGTCCAACAGGTCAAGAGCATATTGCCCTTGATGGGGGAAGAACCCAGAGGCATCGCATCGCACATTATGCCGACGAAGAAATCCTAAATTTTAAGAAATATTTATACAATGTAAAACATCCGTTTGCTTAATTCAACAATTCATGAACGTGAATTTTTAAAAAGTTCATGATTTCAAAAGCAATTCATGAATTTGAGAAATGTTAACAAATTCAAGAAAAAGTTCATAATTTCTTATACAAAGTTCATTGGGTTTGAATAAGGTCAAATTTTGAAAAAAGTTGCGATTTTTTGGGGAAAAAGTGTTATAAACATCATATAGGTAAGAAAGTTCAAGAATTCGTAAAAAGATCAAAATTTGGAAAAAGGTCACGATTTTGATAAAACATTCAGGAATTTGAGAAAAGTTGATGGATTAAAAAAATTTCTTGAATTCAAAAAATGTTCTTGAAGTTGGTAAAATTTCTCCAATTTAGAAAGAAAAGAAAAGAAGGAAACTGAAAAATTTGGTAATAAATAAACCCGAAAACCAGCCCAGAAACCAAAAGATTCCCAAAACCGATAGTGGGATCATGTTACGGGCTGGCCCATTTAGCTACCAATGGAACATAAGTGGGCGCCAATTAGGAGAATACACTATAACTAGCGCAGTGGGAGCCAATTAGTGAAATCACTAGTTAAAGAGTATCCCTTGCAAAGGTCACTCCCATCTTTTCGGGTTGCGAGAAGTGGCGTAATGTAGGTGCGCCATTTGTCACAAACCGTGTGTTTCCTTTTTTTAGATTCGCTTATCCAAAATGTTTTATCTCTTAAACCGTGCGTCTAAATCCTGAACCGTTTTTGTCGTTGGATTTCTGGTGTCCAGATCTTCGAAACTAGATCATATGTTAATAGGTTTTGATGAACTTTTTTTTCACAAAAAACCCCGGAAAATTGGAAAAATAAGCTCGAGCCGGAAGAATGGTTCCCCCCCACTTTTTTCCCCTTTTCGAAGAGGCACAACTGTGCCTCTAGCGGAAACACACCTGTGCCCTCACAGTAGAAAAGAGAAAACAAAACACGACCTTTTCTTTTTTGAGTCTCCCGCGAGAATAAAACCTCTGCCTCCACGACAAGCAAATCTATGCCTCTCGCGGAAGCACAAAAAAAGAAAACACAATTTTTTTTCTTTTCTGACAGGCACTCGCGGAAGCAAATTCTGTGCCTCCACGAGAAGCAAATACGTGCCCCCCTTGGAAGAAACAAAAAAAAATACATGTTCCCTCTTTTTTGAGAGGAAAACCTATGCCTCTTGCCGAAATAAATCTGTGCATCCACGAGAAACAAATATGTGTCTCTCACGAAAAACATGTTTTTTAGTGCAATGCAATTTCTAGATCGCCAAGATGTGCCTAGGGAACTAGGCTGGACATTTCCAAACCAGCTCGAACCAACAGAGTCTACGCCGCCTAACCCTAAAAAACAGAGTTTAGGCCCTGGCCTGAACAACACGATTTAGGCCTAGTCGACACTCACCCGACCACCACAAAAGTCAAGCGGGTCTCTTCCCTTCCTCAACCTGTCGCAGTATCTCTTGGCCCTCTCCTCTCGCTCTCCCAACCCCCTCCTAGCTAGGGTTTTACTTTTCCCTCCGCCAAGGTTTTACCCATGAGCGACCCACCATGATGGTCGCCGAGCTGTAGGCGGAGCTGCTCTGTGCCTAGCTTGAGGAGCACAAGATCAAGGTGATCCTCCATTCCACCCCTAGTCGCCATCATTTCCCATCTCATCTTCATAGCCACCACCACCATCACCGTATCCATCCATCTCCAAGTTAGTCATACTTGTAACCGACATATCGCAACCGACAACTATTGTAAAGACATATTATCTATCAATCATTCATCTTTATGTCATCTTCAATAACTTCATCTTGCGATCCGATCACCATGTGTGAGGAATTCAGTAAGGCAATGGGTTTAGGCACGGCCTTGTAACCCGATGTATTTGTGCCAAGGATCGTGGGAATGACTTCATATGATTGACGTTATTTGTATGTGTCCGATTGCTATGGAACTGTCTCTTGTCTTGTTCTCATTCTAAGGCCCCACAGGTACCCAAGACCCTGTAGATTGATCAAGGAGAAGGTAAAGAGCGAGGAGTGCGTGGAACACTATCCTGAATAGAAGTGAGAAAAGGGGTTAGTACGATAGAGGAAATCTATTCCTTGGGGATGAATGAGGTGTAGCCATTAAACTCCCAATGCTTTTATCTGAATGTTTATTCCTAATGCAGCAATAAGGGCCATCGGTTGGACAATTGACTCTTGATGCATGTCGTGCACTAGTCAAGACATACTTTGGA